CATAAAATACCACTGAAGGTGTGAGCACCATCAGTGAAGATTCTGCAGAAAGCTCCATGACCCAGGGGCACCAGCAGGTCAGGCATCTCAGATGAGGGGTCAGCGGAGCTGCTTTGTGGGGCAGGAGGGGCTTCTTGGGGGCACAGTACAGGATGAGTGTGACCCAGAAATAACAATGTTCAGTGGCAAGTTCACAACTCAGCAAGTCAGCACAAGTTCCCAAAGATATGCACTTCTTTCAGAATTGCCATAGAGATTGGACTGCATTCCATTATTTGTGAGAAAACAAGTAACATTGTTAGGCCTAGCATTAACCAGTAGCTATGTCTCTATTTCTACAGAAGAAAGATGAGGTTGTCTGCTTCCATAAAGTTTACAGCCTTGTAAACCCTTTGAAATCCAGCTCTCTGGCTGTTTCCTCTCTCTGCATCCTACATCTGGCTCATCATCATCTGACCTCTGGTTTTTGAACTTGACCAACTGCCAACAGGACCAACTGCCTGCTGTAGTGCCTGCTGATCTTGGGGCTGTTGGCCTTCTCAGCCTGTAGGCCAGCTAACTGCTGTCATACCTGCCAATCTCCGATTAATCAACCTCTGCATCCGGCAGTTTGGCATATTGTCTGTTCATCCTGGGCTTGTCAGTCCCTGAAGCTACTTGAGCTAGGAGAAGCCTCCATCTTGACATCTGACTCACAGATTTGGGATTTGCGTGTCTCTACAACCCTGTGAGCCATTTCTTTGAGATACATTTCTTCTATCTCTCCCTCTCTCTCCATATATAGGGAGATATATGACAGATGGGAGAGAGAGAGAGAGAGAGAAATGATAGAGACACAGCTACAGATACAGATATAAGCTTCAATAACTTTGCTTCACCAGAGACCCAGACTAAGACAATGTGAAAAATGAGAGGACCCATCATTCTGGCCTAGATGAAGAAGTCACGGAGATGTGTCCCCAGTTCCATTCACTTGTCCCATGATGGAAACTCCCTGTATAGCATGTACACAAGTTGAGGTGGAGAGAGTTGAAATCATGGTGCAGATGCTTCAGAACTTGGCTTGCTCAAGTCTCATTGTTGGAATTGAAATCAACTCCTTCCCATGTGTCACTTATCCTATGCCCAGATCATCTTGCTGGCCAAGTTTATTTATGCAAATTTGTTCCTGTTCTGTGATTGCCCTTATAACATGCCCAGGTGTCAGGTCTGGGAAATGACTCCATGAGAGGTGGAATATTCAGTGTGAAGCAAGGGTGTGAGTCAGGGCTGAGAGCTCCTGTGGTTGCTGGGGACCCCAGGTGCAGGAATGGACACGAGTGAGGACCAGCTTTGCCCAAGTGTCTGAGAATCAGTAGACTGTTTTGCTAGAGGGCCTTGCCCAGAACCCTA